TGCACAGACAGCAGTTAGTCAGATTGATTTCAGTAGCCACTTGTCTGGAAATACCGAAGACTAGAAACGGTTTTGAAAACTTTTGTCACGTAGTGATCGTCTTCTCAATAGAACATCTTTGATAATGTCTTCTGGCCAATCAGAATCAAGATAACGGCGTGGTGTTGTTGCAGGAAGTCCTGACGGAGAATACTTTTGCTGTAGTACATCTCTATATACATCGATACAACATTAGTGTTGATAGAAATCAACACGTAATGAAATAAGACCCCACGGTTTGATGATTGATAGGTGTGTGGGCTGTCTTTCATTTTGACTCACAGAACAATGTTATAATAAACATACTGTAAGTTAAATGGATATATCCGCCTTCTTTCATTTATCTTTCCATTCCCACAACAATATACATAAAGAAATGGCATATTTTGGTCATAGTTCGAATGTTGATTAATCTGATTAATACATTTTTAAGCTGTGATTAATCTGATTAAAAATGTTAATCGTTTGACAGCCCTAATTTCAACACAAGGCAATTCAAACTGCTTTAGAAAACTGAGAGCAGAATCAAAAGCAACCATGTTCTGATTTTATGTAAAGCGTCTTTGAGCCTTAGGAAAAGCGCTATAAAAATCCAATGTATTATTATTCACCGTTTCCTGTCTCTTCTCCAGCTGCACCGGCAGTCTTCCCCTAAACCTGCGACAGGGAAGCGACCGGAGGGACTCCACCCTGACAGGAAGCTCAGTGGGAGGAACACCTGGGAGGAGGAAGGAGTGGTGGGAGAGCGCCGGGAACAAACTGTACACCATCGCCACGGACAAGACCATCAGCAAGCTCATGGTGGAGTACAAGCGCCGGAAACAGCAGCAGCAGAGCAACGTCAACCTGTTCATGAAGGAGCAGGGCCGCGGTGGAGGGGCGGAGCCACAGAGACCCCCCCTGATGAGACCCCAAAATCTGGTGGACCAGCAGGGGGGGGGGCCCTCACTGAGGCACTCTGTCAGCGCCGGACCGGAGGTACTGAGGCAGGAGAAGAGACCCAGATCAGGGTCCACCATCAGCTCCCACAGCATCACCCTGAGGGACTCGGAGGCCCAGATACAGGTGCAGAGGAGAAGAGGGATACATACATCATAAAGACATACAATAAAATAAATAATACAATAAATGGTTTTTATTATTTCACCACAGAAAGAAATAATTGAAGTTGGAATTCTGAATAAAAAGTTGGATTTTTTAATACAAACTTGTGACATAACATTATAATATAAACTGACCAAACACAATATTTTTTTTTAGTTGTGGTTAATATCGGAATTCTGAGAAAGAAATTTAATTTTGAAAAAAAAGTCAGTTAAAAAAATTGTCGGAAAAAATGTTTTGGGAAATCAGAGAAAAAAGTCGGAATTCTGAAAAAAAAGTTCTGAATTCTGAGAAAAAGTCAAAATTCTCACTCAACCTTTTAAAAATAACTTTCCTCTACAATTCAGTGCTTCTCAAAGTGTGGTCCGCGGACCACTGGTGGTCCGTGAGCGCCCCCTAGTGGTCCGTGAGTTAAATGTATTTATTTCACATTTGAAATAAATACATTTAAGTTTTCCGCACTCTCGCGGGAATATCTCCGCAATGGAGCGAGCTTAAGTTTCACTTTCTGTTGCATGATATAGCCCAGGGCAACATATTTGTCACACATGTTGCCACCTGTTTGTACCATTTTCAGGCGATTTATAATCTGTTCTAGAAAAACGATGTGTTTTGGGATATTTGTGGAGTTAGGTGGTCCGCGAGTGTTTTTGTATTGGTTAAGTCCTTGGTATGAAAAAGTTTGAGAAACACTGCTCTACATCACAGACCGGCAAACCGGTGAGTCTGTGCGTTGAATACTGTGTAGTTGACGCTGTCTCCCTCCTGCAGGCGTGGACCAACATGGTGCTGACGCTCCTGAATCAGGTCCTGCTGCTCCCGGACTCGTCCTTCCTGGCTCTGCTGCCGGCGCTCTACCCCTGCGTCAGTCAGCTGACCTGTCACGTGACCGACGCTCGAGTCCGCCAGGCGCTCCGAGAGTTGATGGGCCGCGTCGGGAGACTCTACGACATCATCGTGTGACGACTGGGCGAAGACATGCAGACGGTTGAAGAGCGAAGTCTGTGAAGGACGTTCAGATTAAAAGTAGAATGAGGATCAATGCTGTCATGTGATGGCGCCGCTGATTGATGATTGGCTGACGTAATGGAGAGGTGAGGCATCAGAAAACAACTGGCTCTGATGTTTTCGTATGGATTTGTGGCACTTTGGAAGAACATCATGTGACTTTAAATGGGAGGTTTTGATTGGCAGATGAAGAACAGAGGATTCAGTTGCTTTGTTTATGATGGACATGTTGTTGTTGTTGTTTTAAAGGGAATGTACCTCTTGTTATTTTGTTCCTGTACTGTGTCAAAAGCTTTAAATATGATTTGCTGTTTATCAGTTTTGAGGAAAACTGATTTGCAGAGTTGCTCATAATCGAATGACAGCATTGTCATGCCGTCCAAATATGCTTCCACCTAAAGGATAAATAATACATGAATTACATGAAGCTATTGTTACGGAAGAGGATTAGCGCTACAAGATATTTCAAGATCTGACCAATAGTGTTTGTTTGTTTTAGTTCTGAGATTAAAATCTGAATTCTGAGAAAAAAATTGGAATTTCAGAAAAAGTTAAGATTCTGAGAAACAAGTCGGAATATTGAAAAAAAGTATTTTCAGAAATCTGAAAAAGTCAGAATGTGGATAAAAAGTTAGAATTTTCACAAAAAGTCAGAATTTTCAAAAACGTCGAAATTTGCGAAAACAACGGAATTTTGATAAAAAGTCAGACTTTTTAGAACATTTTTAGAAAAGTTTAGAAAAAAGTTGGAATTATTACTTTTCTCAGAATTCTGACCATTTCACTCAAAGAAAACATCATTTTTGCTCAGATCTAAAAAAAAGTCCTGGTGTGGATGCAGACGTTTGGACAAAAACAATGAATTATTTTCAGTTTTACCCCCATTATTTTTCTTACCTGCTGATCAGCTGATCTCTGAGAAATGTCTTACATAGTGAAAGCAAATTAAAAAATACTGTAATTTTATTTATTTGTTTATTTAATTCTGCACAACCAGAGTCAGGCCATATTAAATACGCTGGAGAAACATGTCTTTGCATCTGCTCTGATTGTATATTAACGTTTGTCGCTGCAATGCATTTTCTATATCCAGCTTTAAAAACTGTGCGCTGATCTTTTTGACAGAATGTTTATTGTTCGACCTCAAACTCTCTGAATCAAATATTTATTCAAACTAAATCCCACATACAGTTTGTGTATTTTGAAAGCTTATGATTTACATGTGTGTATATAAATTATATATATCCAGTTTAAATTATTTATTATTTAAGATATTTAAAGTGTGATTTTTTTTTCAGCATTTTCTTTGTTGTTTTTATACTTTCCTTCCACTTGATGCAGTGTGTGTGCATGTGCTTACTGATTGACATGAGCAAGGTACGATGAAAGTGTGACCAACTACCAACTATTGTTAAAATGCCAAAAAGAGCGATCACATGACGTTACATCTAAATACAAACCTGTCTGTAATCCGAGGCAAAGAAGCAGCTTTTACACACATTTTAAAGTGTTTATTTTTGGGTTAATTCCCTTTCCAATATCAAGCCAAAACGTAACAATTCTATTCACAATATTTCCACATTTAAGGCGAGCACATTTCCCTGAAAACAGATTCTTGCTCCACAGAGGATACACCCTTCAGATTCCAATGACCACCTGCCTCACTGAAGATCTCATACTGTATGCATTTGTCAGCAAAAATGTGTCATCTCTAGGTTGTACGCTTGTATATTTATAATTAATACGCCACTAAAATCACGGTACAGTTATGAAGTGTGTTTGGACAATGCAAGTGTTATTAATCCCTGTAAATCCCAGAATGGTTACCAAACAGAGATTAGGTTACGCCCTGTAGCGGCTGAATCTGTACAATTTATGCCACTGTGCTTTTTACAAGAGATTATGAGTGAATGGAAGTAGAGAGGGTTGATCTGATGCTAACTTCAGGAGGGAGGAGGGAGGAAGGAGGAAGGAGGAGGGAGGAGGGGAAACAAGCTCCTAACAAGATGTACTCTCCTTTTTCTCTCATCTAAACGCTTTGTCTCTTTTGTTTTGCTCTCCTTTTACCCGGTCCCTCTGCTGCCCACTGTCTCTTTAGTTTGAACATCAGCAGGAGAGGACTCTTTAAAGTAGAGACACTACGTACTGATATACACCTGAACATCAGCAGGAGAGGACTCTTTAAAGTAGAGACACTACATACTGATATACACCTGAACATCAGCAGGAGAGGACTCTTTAAAGTAGAGACACTACATACTGATATACACCTGAACATCAGCAGGAGAGGACTCTTTAAAGTAGAGACACTACATACTGATATACACCTGAACATCAGCAGGAGAGGACTCTTTAAAGTAGAGACACTACATACTGATATACACCTGAACATCAGCAGGAGAGGACTCTTTAAAGTAGAGACACTACATACTGATATACACCTGAACATCAGCAGGAGAGGACTCTTTAAAGGAGAGACACTACATACTGATATACACCTGAACATCAGCAGGGAGGACTCTTTAAAGTAAAAACACTTGATATACACCTGAACATCAGCAGGAGAGGACTCTTTAAAGTAGAGACACTACATACTGATATACACCTGAACATCAGCAGGAGAGGACTCTTTAAAGTAGAGACACTACATACTGATATACACCTGAACATCAGCAGGAGAGGACTCTTTAAAGTAGAGACACTACATACTGATATACACCTGAACATCAGCAGGAGAGAACTCTTTAAAGTAGAGACACTACATACTGATATACACCTGAACATCAGCAGGAGAGGACTCTTTAAAGTAGAGACACTACATACTGATATGAAGCTGAAAACGAGCAAAATATGTCCTCTTATGTTTAGGTGGATAAAATAAGTTTGGCTTTTGTCCCCGTTTCTTAGCTTTTGTGTTTGTACTTCTTCATGTTTCTCTTTAAAGTGGAGATGCGCCCGCCACCATGTGCTGTTGGTAATAACAATACAATGGATAAGTACGTCATACAACAGCACTTCCAAACATCTGAACTATAACAATATAACAATAAAGTTTAATCTTTTTGTGCTGTATCTAAATTTGTTATCAACAAACAACATTTGTGATCTTTCTTTGTGTGATCAACTTGTGTTGTCTATGCACCTAGAGGCACTGCACATGTGACTGTGTGTGTGTGTGTGTGTGTGTGTGTGTGTGTGTGTGTGTGTGTGTGTGTGTGTGTGTGTGTGTGTGTGTGT